AGAAGGATCTCCCACCATATATGGAGAAAAGAAAATAATCGCAATTCGGTTTCTGGGTTACAAGACATTTTCACTGATGTCATGCATGTCTAATCTTCTATTACCTGTATGGATGTCTCCAAAATAATTTCTCAAAGTAAAATGTTCCCTACAGTGTTGCTCAAAGCGTGTTCAAACCTTTCCTAGGGAAATTTATTCTGATGCTTCATCCAGGAAACATTGGGACAAGACATTTTCACTGAAGTCATGCATGTCTAATCTTCTACTAACTATTTGATGTCTCTAAAAGAAATCCTCAAAGTAAAATGTTCCCTACAGTGTTGCTCAAAGCGTGGTTGAAACCTATCTGGGGGAAACTTTATTCTGATGCTTCATCCGGGAAACATTGGGACAAGACATTTCCACTGATGTCATGCATGTCTAATCTTCTACTAACTGTATTCATGTCTCTAAAAGAATGTCTCAAAGTAAAATGTTCCCTACAATGTTGCTCAAAGCGTGTTCAAACCTTTCCGGGGGAAACTTTATTTTGATGCTCCATCCTGGAAACATTGGGACAAGACATTTTCACCAATATCACGCATGTCAAAACTTGTACCAAAAGGCAGTGACATCTTAGATAAAAAAAATACCGTGAAAAGAAATTTCGCTGTGTTCAAACGTTTCCCGGGGGGATACACTTTGAAAAGACTCATCACTCGCACAGGGAAACCTTGGGACAGCACATGGCGGCCCAGAACTCGGCCTCCCACCACACAACCGGCTCTCGATGACCTTTTCGCCCTCGTCGGCACCAACCACCAGATGACGGCGATAATTGATCGACACACTGCTGACAGATGCGACAAACAAGGCCACGAACGAGTTGGGGCAAAAGGAAAGAAACAAATTTTTACATTAAAAAAATAAAATAAAATCGAGGAATCAATCGCAGGAAGCCATAAAAAAATACAAAGAATAAACTTGCATTATCTTCCACAGCACGGATTCCGAACTCATTCAACTTCCCCATTCACTAACAAACGCGCCTTCCCTGAAGGCTATTTAGCCTGAAACAATGCCCCAGAGCTGAGGAAGTGACCACAAACTGAAGGTTTCTCTTCTTGTGAGTAAAAAGGAAAAAAAATCAAGTTATATAATGTTGGCGCAGAAGATACTGACACTGTATACACATTTATTTTGTTTTATTTCCTCTCCCACCCGCAGTTTCTCCCAATAAGTGAAGTAAAACATGATCAACAGTCTTCAGTTGCTTCCATGTACACATACACAGAGCAGTACTATAATTTATTTTTCCTGATTCTTTGCAATCATCCTTGGTTCACAAAGGTCAACTTTTTTAATTGTATGCAATATTAATCTCCCAGGGTGCTATGCAAGTTCGCCTATTTCAGTTCCTGTCCGTCAGATGTCGCGACATTGCATATATATACACAGTAAAAACTTGAGTCTTTCACTGCTATGAAATTTTTAAGCATCCCATCAGCTTCATAATAGGAGAAATGGAAATTCTTGCTTTAAGAAATTATTTTTCAATGGTTGAATATCAAGTTTAAATTTTTGCTTCTCTGAAAAAAAAAAATATTGGAAGGTAAATGTTGAAAAAACTATCTTAACTTGCTTGTTCAGCACTAGAAGTTGAAAAGAAAGAAAGAAATTCTATCATCATTGTTGAGAAACTTTGGCATTAAAGAAAATATGCTGCATGGTGTTTTTCTTAGCTAGGTTAATTTCTTATTTTTAAAATGGCTTCTTTCTCCTAAGTTAACAGTATGACTGATGAGAGAAGATTTCCCAAATTTGTGTGAACACACAGGTGTGAATGCCTGGGTGTGCTTCCAACACATTTATTGTAAACGATTTTAGGTGCATTGCATTGGAAATAATCAGGACAGGTTAAAGTAAGGGAAATGTAATTCACATTTTTAATATTACACTATTATACTTTATTAAAAAGAGTTGGAAATCAGATTCTTTCTCCAAGGTAAATTTCTTGTAAGCCTGGATTTTCACTGAAAAACCTTTGCACTTAACATTGTTGAGCTTTCAACTGCATGACTGCACTCTTTGAAAGGAAAACAGGATCAAGAGTTGCTTGGTAATGCAGCAAGATATTTAAAAAATGTATACCTGGAACTTAGTATCTCAAATTTTGGGACAATACCTTCATCAGAAGCAGCAGAGCAAACATTTGAGAACATATGGATAAAAACTGAAAGAAGATGTGAGAAAACACAATAAGGCAATCAATGCAAATGATAAGCTGTATAACTTTTTGTCAGTCATTCAGAATTATAAATTTCTGATTCATAATTGAAACACCCTGGAATTGACCAATTGCCATCATCCACTGTTCATTTGGTGAGTTCACATTTAGAACCACCATCAGGTAAAACATTTGAAGATCATGCAATTTTTCTCAATGAAAAAATGAACTTTTAGAAGATTTTTTTAAACATTTGGGTGTCTGAAAATTCATTAAAAATATTTCAATACTAAAAAAAAATGCAGGAACAAAAATGTAAAATGTTGCTCATATTGAATGTGAGTTCAAATAATTTTTTATTCATGCTTGTTTCATATTTAAAAAAATCTAAAATGCCTGCTATAATCAGTTGAATTAGAAAGAGTTGCCCAAGGAAAGACTAAAATAAAATATGCAATAAACCAAGGATGCCACATTTTTATATGTCAGACAGGTCATGAGTTTTTAAAACTGCTGTTATAATGAATTTTCACCACTCATGTAACTCTTATTTGAGGGTATGCTTTCTCAGAGGATTATAGCAGTCATAGAATGGCAGATAAAATCTGAAAAGAGAAACAAAATCACTTAGTTCATCTTTCATTTCGGGCAGAGTTTAAATTTTCATTTGTTCAACTTTTTTTGAAAATTACAGATTTCTTAACACATAACAATGGTTTTCAAATTGTGTGGGATAAGTTTACCCTCAATTTATTAATAAACACTTGAAAAATAAACTTATACATGGTTAGGTGGTGATCAAGTAAATAGATGAGTTCAAAGATGTAACAATTGAATGAAAATGTTCTGTCTGAAATCTTGGGGGACCTGTGATGAAAAAAGTCAGCTCTATATGATTTATCTTGGAAGATTCTTTCTAAATTGTTAAATCAATTGATAATTATCAGGAAACAGGCTGAATACCTCGTGATTTAAAGTGTGCTTGTCTTATGTTGATTCTTTGATGGGTGTACAAGGGGTGGGGAATGGGGAAAAATGTTTGAACAGCAATAAATAAGGCATATCTCAATAAAAAAAATTCAGATGTCTGGGTAATGCAAATGGAGAAATGAGGGATCAGAGCCTCAAACCATTGCTTCCAGCATCACCCTAAAAACCATGGACATCATTAACAAATACACAGTACATGAATCAATAAAAGAAAACACCATAAACTCAAAACTTTCTTTTCTTTCTCCCAACTTCTCCACAAAAAAAGCAGAATCCTTCCCGCAGCGAGCATTTTAAACTCATACAACAAACGACCCACTCATTCCCAAAAGGGTTTAAATATTCCCTCAAAAGCATTTTCATACAAAACGTAGAAGAGGCAAAAATCTGGCACAAATTATTGTTCAGATCCCGAACCATAGAGGCAAGACAGGATTTCAGAGAAAAATGTTTTGTTTTTCTCGCAAGGACGCAAAAAAAAAAAAAATTCAGCAAAGCCTGCCACTTTTACAATGGCACATCTTTTGAAGGGGCAATTGTTTCTTTTCAAGTTCTCAGGTGGGACGTTGTTTATACGAAATGCGCATTTCTTTCTCATCTGGGCAAGGATTGTATTCAGTATATCACAGCATGTTCAGCAAGGGCATGAAGCAAACAAAAAAAAATCAGCTAACCCACACCCCTCAAAAATATGAGCATTCTGAGAACATCCTGCGAGGATTACAAGTAAATTCAAATATTCAACTACTCTTCTACAACATGGCGTCAAGAGTACAATTTTTTTTGTAAATTTTCTTCCCTCGCAGAGGAAAGATTCGAAACAGGGGCTCAACTTCAAAAGGCACTGAAATCTCTAGAACTGAAAATTTCCAGTGCATTTTTCGTCACCTTCATTTCAACTCTCCGAATCCAAAAAAAAGAACTGGATTCCTACTTAAAAGCCGACCAATGATTGCATCTTCTTAACGTTTTCTTTGAAAAAAAAGTCAGAATGCAAATTGGAATGGGAAGAAATTAACCTGCTATTCTAGCACAAAAAAACATTTGTTGTATCATATGTTGTCCACAGTGTACATAAGATGGCTCCTCAGGATTCTTCCTTTTGATCCAGAGACAAAATTTTCCGAAGAGAGTCATTTGGTTGTCGGAGACGTTTCTGATTTTTGCATTCCTTCCATTTGCAGCCAACGATGAACTTTCTCTCTAGCAGGCAACTGAAATCAAAAGAGCAAAATCAACATCATCCCGGAAATTTGAACGATGCGGAAAACCTTCATGCGACATCTGGGGAAAACTGTTCAAAACGCAGGCNAACATCCTGCGAGGATTACAAGTAAATTCAAATATTCAACTACTCTTCTACAACATGGCGTCAAGAGTACAATTTTTTTTGTAAATTTTCTTCCCTCGCAGAGGAAAGATTCGAAACAGGGGCTCAATTTCAAAAGGCACTGAAATCTCTAGAACTGAAAACTTCCAGTGCATTTTTCGTCACCTTCATTTCAACTCTCCGAATCCAAAAAAAAGAACTGGATTCCTACTTAAAAGCCGACCAATGATTGCATTTTCTTAACGTTTTCTTTGAAAAAAAAAGTCAGAATGCAAATTGGAATGGGAAGAAATTAACCTGCTATTCTAGCACAAAAAACATTTGTTGTATCATATGTTGTCCACAGTGTACATAAGATGGCTCCTCAGGATTCTTCCTTTTGATCCAGAGACAAAATTTTCCGAAGAGAATCATTTGTAACAGCCTCTGCAAAGACTAAAAACGTAAGGAAGGTAAACGTCGGTTGCTACTTGAAAGAGAGATCGTCCGTTGACTTTAGTTTTCTCGTTTTAGTTGTAGTAGGGCCTTTAAACTTGCTACGCCTTAACCTTCATGCGACATCTGGGGAAAACTGTTCAAAACGCAGGCTTCAATGACTCTAGCCTAGATGACGCGCGTGACAGACTTCACAAACAGGAAAGTTCATTCTTTTTCAGCAATGCTTTACTAGCAAAATACTTCAACAAAGGAGGAAAGCAACAAACAAATATGGATTGCATTCCTTGCCAGTTTTTCACCAGACAAAAGCTCAAGGATAATCAAATAACTGTAAGGTGAACTACAACCAAGCATGACAATGAAAATGCTCATAACAATAAAAGTGAATCACATTGAATGCTGTCAAGTGCAGTAAGTAAAGCAATAGCAAACATCAGTGAATGACATGCAAATGGCAAAAGAGGTCAGAAACTACAGAGGCAGTCACAGACAAAAAAAGACAACCATCAGAAAGCAGATAAAAATGTCAAAGCACATACCAATCATCAGAAAAGAAACCTGAACTTCAGAGATGGAAGAAATAGACACAGACCCTGTGTGAAAGAACATTTTGAATCAGGCCCAGCTGATCCAAGAGTATATTTTCCAATGTCTTCCCAAAATGAATCCTTCACCATAGAAGAAAAGAACAAATCAAAGAAGGACAAGAAAGTTAACAGAAATAAACCAACCACCGCTCAGCAAAAAAAAAGAACCACACAAAAAAGAAAACATCATCCCTTTCCAATCCAAATATTCCTCAACATCAACAGCAGCCATCCAGAAAAAAAAGCAAGTTCAACTGCCCCAAAATCTCCATCACTTACTTCCAAAATACCACTGGTTTTTTTTGTTCTTCAAGAAGAGCCACAAAAGAAAAGAAAAAAAAAAGATTCTTAAAAAAAAAGCACCAACTAGTCCAGCAGGGAGGCAAAAACCTACACAACCAACACACTTGATAGAAAATATCTCCTCCTTCACCAAGGGTTACACATGAACAGGTTTTTCTTTGTTTTTGTTTTTTTCTCCCACAAAATCCTGGCACCATCAAAAATGTCAACTTTTTCTTGCACAAGAGATCACTTATCCTCATAATACTCTGCTTTTCTTTTCTTATGCAACACTCCCTTTTGGCAAAATGTGAATCAAGCACATATACTGTATTTTGTGTTTAAAAAAAGTTCTATATCTCTCGCCTCAGTAAACCCAAAAAACTTGTGACTTTTGGAAAGCAAAAAGAACAAACTAACTCCTTCTGTTGTGGATTTCTTATTGATGGTTCTTGTTTTTTTTTGGTATTTTCCGCCTCAAGATACCCTGATCCAAGATCAATCTTGGTCCCACACGTTTTTTGACATTTAAAAAACAATGAAATCTGTTCACAATAGGGATTCATTTTTTTCTTCTGCAGAAAACCATGAATACAGTATGAAATATTGAATTAAAACTGGTCTGCAGGGAGTTTTCCTTATTCTTCAAAAATCTCTCAAGTCAAATTTAAAGAGGTGATTCTTATCTGTCCTGCAAATTGTAAGATTTCTTTCTAAAATTACTTCGCCAGGATTAGAAATAAACTTAGCATGTCTTCACTAACCACTGCAATATTCTATTGATCAAATGACCTTCGGAATCAGTAAACTTCCACAAAAATATTATTTGAAGTTGAATTGATCAATTATTCATGAAAAAAATGGGCTTTCAAATTGATTTCTTGAGCATCAAGAGAGATTCAACATAGAAAAAAAATTTGTTTGGGTGTTGGTCAATTCTGAGGCAAATAAAAAATAAAATAAAAGGGCAATTCAGAAAATATTGCAAGAACTTTAAAATAACCAATCACTGGAGCAAGTCAGTCCATCAGAAGAAATCGATTTTTTTTGAAAACCATTGCCTACTATTTCTGAGGAAGCCTCAATTTTCCATTTGATTTCCCTTGCTTTTTTATAAAGTTGAAAAAAGTTGAAACTCTAGAGCTCCTAAATTGGTTTTCTAAAAATACACGATTTTATTGGATTTAAAGTACTGCATAGAGCATTTAAAAATGTTGATAATTGATCTGGGGACTAAAATATTAGAAAACTGCGAAACATTTTTTTTAGACTGCACAAAAAATTGATGTCCAATCATTGAAAGTTGAAGTTCCTGATTGGAATTGTCAACAAAACTTTTCAAAGGAAGCAAACTTTTTATAATATCACTGTGTTCGCGGTTTTCTACTGTTTCATATCAAAAAGAAAAAAAATAGTTATAAATTTATCCAAGAATTCTTTATAAAAAATATTTTCAAGAGAATTGGAAAAAATAAAAATTATTCCGCGTATAGCTTCAAATTGCAATAATCATTGAAAGGATTTATTTGAGACTCAGACTTACATTATATAATTTTGAATTGGTGTTTTATGGACAAAATACTCACCATAATTCCATGAAAATAAAAACTGTCTCACAATTTGAACTGATTCCAATCAATATATTTCAACACAATATGGACATTTGGGGAATTGAATACCAATACCTCTAGACAGTAAAAAGAAATGTTGGCATTCTCTGTTAAAAAAAATATTCAAGCAAAAAAGAGAGAAGGAAGTCCCTCTATGCTGGAGTCAATTTTTTTAAATTAGCTAAATGGATGGTAAATTGGCAAGAGAAATGCCCAAGAACTTTTCATGCATCAATTTTAGGGTTGGAGATGGTTGAATTGCAGGACATCAAATTGCAGTGTACCACCTGTACTGGGTGTTGTGCAGTTTTTGTTCAAAGAAGAAGGGTGTCAACTAAAAAATGAATGCATTTGCAATGTAGTGTGATGTGCATTTCTTATTTGTATTTTTTTAAATGGACATGTGTTTGTGGCAATAAGGGGTAATGTGGACAAATACTTTGAAACCTTGTGAATGCTTGCAAATGGCAAATGAACCATATTTCTCTATATGTAGCTAAATTATTTCCATGCCAGTGGCAACGAGTCCCTCAGCTTACAAATTTTTCTGAATAAATATACATCATTATTGAATGCTTTCTAAAACCATATTCAACAAGCTTTACTGGTGCAAGACATTGACCAAATCCTGTACTATTTATTCAATGAAAATTAATGCAAAAAATAATAACCTGGGGAAGAGAGCTCAGCATTTGACGAACTTGAGAAGCAGAGGACTCTGCACTGGGTTCCAGTCTGGTCTCTAGTTCCACCAGCTGCAGCACCAAGCTCCTAATGTGCTCCAGCAGCTGCTGATTACTTGACAGCAACTGATGAGTCCGTGCCTTCATGAAAGAAAAAAAAGAACATTCCATAAATTCAAATGTTCCATAAAGATCACTGTGAAACATGGGATCACACAACAACACAGTTCAAGGACCAATTAGGATACTCTTCTCATTATAAAAAAAAAAATGGAATGTGCCAAGCCCAAGAATGGACATTTTGATAAAATTTTCCACAGATGACAAAATGCTTTTAATGATTAGGGCATGTTGAATGTGTACGGTCTGTTGTTAATCTTGTACTTGTGCTCAATGTACCAATTGTTTACGTCATTTTGTGTATGATAAACTGCTAACAGTTATGAGAAACTTTTACATCTGCTAACACTATATACTGCTAACAGGTATGAGAAACTTCTACATTTGCGAACACTACTACCCCTGTTTTCATTTGTTTTTTTATTCCTTAACTTTATTATTTATTTGAATCTATCACACACTATTTTGACTCCGAATCTTTCCTCCAATGACTGTACAACCCAATAAAAAATAGAAACAGGACCAAAAAACACAGAAAATCTATTGCAAAGAGGAACTTCAAAATTTAAAAAACTGAGGTAAAATCTAAGAAAAAACCAATGATTATCCTCAACTTTGTCACTCTCTCCCAAATCAGTTTCTGACCATACTACAATATTTTAAACAAAATTTAATAGATTTTTTCCTTCCTTTTGATTTATTGTTTACAAATCATTCTGGAAACGTTGCAATCTTCATTGATATTGAAACAGTCAACAATGAGGAACTTGAAAATTATAAAAACTGTGGTAAAATCGGAGAAGAAAAAAAAAAAGATTATCCTCAATTTTGTCACACTTTCCCAAACCAGTTTCATCAGACTATATTATTTGTAACAAAATTTACTCGATTTTTTTCCTTCCATTTGATTCCTCTTTTACAAATAATTTTGGAAACATTGCAATCTTCATTGTTGTTGTTACTAAAACAGTCAACAAGGAGGAACTTCAAAATTAACAAAATTATAAAAACTCGGGTAAAATCGAAGAAAAAAACCAATTATTATCCTCAACTTTTTCACTCTTTCCCAAACCAGTTTCAGACCACAATATTTGTTACAAGATTTACTTGTTTTTTCTTGTTTTTCTTTCGATTCGATTGTCAACTAAACGCTTAAGTCTATTCTGTTTTTTTGTTTAAACATTCGCCAGCTTCTTCAAAATTGTAAAAATGATAAGAACTCTGGTAAAATCGAAGAAAAAACCAATTATTATCCTCAACGTTTTCACTCTCTCCCAAACCAGTTTCAGACCACAATACTTGTTACAAGATTCACTTGTTTTTTCTTTTTATTCTTTAGATTAAATTGTCAACGAAACGCTTAAGTCTATTCTGTTTTTTTGTTTAAACATTCGCCAGCTTCTTCAAAATTGTAAAAATGATAAGAACTCTGGTAAAATCGAAGAAAAAACAAATTATTATCCTTAACTTTTTCACTCTCTCCCAAATCAGTTTCAGACCACAATATTTGTTACAAGATGTACTTGTTTTTTCTTCTTATTCTTTAGATTAGATTGTCAACTAAACGCTAAAGTCTATTCTGTTTTTTTGTTTAAACATTCGCCAGCTTCTTCAAAATTGTAAAAAAGTTTAAAAAAAAATACAAACAAACACACACATGGCAGAAAAAGAAAGAATGAAAAAGACCAGGAAAAGAAAGAAAAGAAGGGGGAAAACGGACTTGTGCCTCCATCCTGGCAGAGGACTCGGCGGCCAATTGCTCCCTGAGCAGGTGGACCTGGGCCATGGCGGCCTGCGTCTGTTGGCTCTGGGCCTCCAGCTGCTCCCTCAGCAACTGGGCCTCGTGATGCGCACTGAGTCTGCCGCCGACCAGCGTCTTCACGGCGTCCGCGTCTCCGGCCACCAACGGCTTGGCCTTTGGAGACGCGTAAATCTCGCCAGTCAACTAAAAAAATAAAAATGGGGAAACAAATTAAAAAACAGAACTAAATTGAAGAAAATTTATTGCAAAATTTGTCTCGGAAAATGTTTTTGTAACGCGTCACGACTGACGAAAAAATAAAAAATTTCGTAATTTTTGACGTCAAAAAAATTTGCGAGAAATCGAGAGCAGATAAATATCATCAGAGAATTTTCTACAATAAATTCTCAAAAATAAATTAAAACGGTGTCTAAATCGGAAAAAAATATGGTTATCCACTTATCCTCAATCTTGTCACACTCTCCCAAACCAGTTTCAGGCCATACTACTGTATTTTTAACAAGATTTACTTGTATTTTTTTCCTTCTTTCGATTCAAATGTTAAAACGCTTTTTATTTCAAGAGCTCTTGCAGTTCCAGTAACTATGTTTAAGAATAAAGGTATAAGTAGACGTAAGTAGTGCAGTGTTTTATGGCATTATGCGTTCTTTAGCTCTCGTCTATTTATAGGAGTCTATTAAAAGATGTTTAAATTCTCAAAAATAAATAAAAACTTTGTCAAAATCGGAAAAAATATGGCTATCCTCAATTTTGTCACACTCTCCCAAAGAAGTTTCAGACCATACTATTTGTAACAAGATTTACTCGTATTTTTTTCCTTCTTTCTATCAGAATGTTAAAACGCTTTTTATTTCAACTTCATTGATAGAAAATTCTTATTGCCACATTCATACATTCATCACGTCTCAAAAATACAGTACCTCAGAAATCGAGAGCAGATTCACGCAGAGAATTTCAATGTTTCCAAGTATCAAAGACGCATATTAAACCCAAGAAATTGAAAGTAGATTGAAATACTGAAACGTTAAAATTCCTCCAAGAAATTCAACTTGAAAAAAGACCACGAAAACGAAGAGATACAGTAATTTACTTTAAAACAAACTGAAGATTTCTCATCGTCACTTTCCTCTAGTGATAACGTCAAAAAAATCCTCAATAAATCCAGAGCAAATTCATTCAGGGATTTCCTTTTTTTCAAGTACTGTATTTTACCAAAAATGCATGTTAAAACGCAGAAAATCGAGAAAAGATTAAAATAAAAATCTGAATTCCTCCAAATATTAACAATTAGCACAAAATCACGGAAAAACTCAAATTAAAATCTCTTATCGCCACTTTTCTATATAATGATCACGTAAAAAAAAAACCCTCAATAAATCTAGAGATGATTCATTCAGAGAATTTCAAATCTTAAAAGCATCAAAAATACACATCAAACCCAGGAAATCGAAAAAAGATTAAAAATAAAACTGAAGACAAAACTTGAAATCCGTCCCAAAAATTAAAATGTGCACAAAATCAAAAATAAATCCTCAAAGAAAATACTGAAAAACCTGAAATTCCTCCCCAAAATTTGCACAAAATCACGAAAAAACTCAAATTAAAATTTCTTATCGCCACTTTTCTATAATGATCACGTCAAAAAAGAAACCCTCAAAAAATCTAGAGATGATTCAATCAGAGAATTTCAAATTTTAAAATCATCAAAAATACACATTAAACCCAGAAAATCGAAAACAAGATTAAAATAAAACTGAAAACAGAACTTGAAATCCGTCCCAAAAATTAAAATGTGCACAAAATCAAAAGTAAATACTCAAAGATGATACTGAAAAACTTGAAATTCCTCCTAAACATTTGCACAAAATCACAAAAGAAAATTCAATTAAAAATTAAAAAAAAAAAACGTAAAAGACGTGACGACTCACCAAAGATTTCTTGTCGGTCTGCGGCGGCGCGGGCAGCGGCTCAATGAGCAAGTCCTCGTCACCCAGCAATCGACAGCCTCCACTCGTCACTGACGAGTTTCCCGACGACGCATTCAATCCGCCGTTCGGACGTCGCTTGTTGCTACTGCTGTTGTTGTTGTTGTTTTGTTGAGGTGGTTGTTGCAGCTTTTGCTTGGGTTGTCGTTGCCTGGAAGTCTTATTGGACCCGATTTGTTGTTGCTGCTGCTGCTGTTGTTGTTGTTGGGAGGATTTCCCGACTTCGCGTCGGTTCCTGTGATGATTCCGGTGATGATTGTTGTTGTTGTTATTATTGTTGTTGCGGGTGTCGTCGTCGTTGTCGTCTTCTGCTTCATCATCGTCATCGTCTTCATCATCGTCGTCGTCATCTTCGTCATCATCGTCGCTTTCTCTGTCCTTTGTCGCGTCCGACGTTGCTTCAGAATCTACCAACAAAAAAATCAATGAAATTATGCTCAAAAGGGAAAAAGAAAAGCGCTGAAAAACCTATCTCTAAGCTTCATCCCTTTTTCCAACATTTATCCAAAAAAAAAAAAAGATGCGTCGGAAATGACGAATTCGAAACCAGACAATTTCGCAACATCCTTTCAAGTAATTTCAGAAGTTCGGAGGATGCATTTTTCATCAAAAATCTAATTGTAGAAAATGACGCACAAAAATCACTTTCTGGACAATTTCCTAATTCATGTTTCAATGAAATGGATTTTTTTGTTCCTCTGGGCTCTGGGCTATATTCTAGACTGGTTTTTTTCGAAAATTTTAAAAACTTATTCTCTGAGAGTTGATTTCAAAACATCAGAATTTTTTCATAAGGCGTTCACGGGACGCCTCATGAAAAAGATTTTGAAATTACAACACGGAAGTTGGTTTACGCAACACATTTACGAGCATAAAAAAAATTGAAAAAAGTCTGAAACAAATAAAATGACTCCTTGAGAAATTCCAGGTAATACTTCCCCTTGAAAATGTATTTCCACCTGGAATTGATTATACAGTGAAACCCCCCACATGCAGACACATTGAAATGAGGATAATTGAACATAGGAACATTTATTTTTCAATAAAAAGGGCATAAAAAAGGCTCAACATACAGACACTGACTTGACATGAGGACATTGCATGATAAAATTGCCAATAAATTTAACAAAAATTGACTTTTATTTGGCTTGATTTGCAAGAAACAGATATTTCCAACCCTAAGATTTATGCAAGAAAAATTCTTTGTCATTTCTCTCATCATTTCCCCATCCATTCAGCTAATTAAAAAAATTACCTATTGCATAAAGGGAATTCCTTCTCTCTTTCTGACTTGGAATGTTATTTTTGTAGATGCCAACATTTAAATGTACAGTAAAGAGATACACTATTCAATGCTCCAAATGTTCTTATTGAGTTAAAAATATATTCACTGAATCAAATTCAAGTGGCTAAAAACATTTTCTATGGAATTCTGAAGAATATTTCTACCTTAAACCCCAATTAAAATTTACCGTATTTACTCAAGTACCACGCGCACCTTTTTTTCTCAAATTTCATAAGAAAAAAAGGGGTGCACATCATAAGTGGGTACAAAATTTTCAAGTTGTCTTAGGAAGTTATGTGTGCATTATACTAAATTGTAATGGAGAAATTTCAAACAAATGTAACAAGAAAACTTTTTTGTACTGAAAAAGTTGAAAATTGATCAAATTTTTGTTCAATTCATGTCTAAAGTCAAATTTTTTGAATTTATTTTCAAAATGTTGAGGTAGGTTCACTAAAAATTGGGGTGCGCATCCTACTCAGGTATCGGGTTTTAGCCAATTTTCCAACTGAAAAACCCCTGTGCGCCCCTTACTCAAGGGAACATGGTACTGAAGTAAATTCAGTATATAACATATGTCTATGGGAAAACAAGACTTGACTCAGGGACAATTCAACTTAGGGACACTCTTGATGCACCAATCACATCCACATCTGGGGGGTTTCACTGTATTTCACTACAGCAGTTCAAAACTTCCGCCAACGTAAAACTCCAGCAGATGGCGCCTCAAGACTGACAATTCCCACAAATTAACCGCTCGCATCCCAGCAGCAGCCAGCATCGCAGACATTTTTTATAAATAAAAAAACTCAAGACTTCAAACACATAAAACCAAATCTATTCCTATAGCGTAGTACAGTATTAAAAATAAAAAAGGAGAGAGAGAAGAAAACAATTCTGGAAAGGTCTGCGGTGTTTCGCCGGATCGTTAACGAGGTGGGGCGGGAATGAGAAGGAATAAATAACAAGGGGCGCGACGGGTTTTTTCTGTCGCTTCCAATCCCTGGGTTAAAGGGAAGAACAAACATGTGACATTGGGGGCGTCGTTTTTTATTTTTTATTTTTTGCGGGCAAAATTTCAATTGCATGAAAATGGTCCATATATCACGTTGCTTCACAAGAGACTACAGGTGGTGTGGCAGAATAATTAGATCACCAATTGCATAATGTGTCAAATTATCTAGAATGCTCTGGAATACTTGAATTAGGCTGCAGTTAGATGGCAGTTCCTGTTATTTGAATATTGGACCCATTAATTTACCCATTTCAAGCCAATCAGGTGCAGCAATGCAGATTCCTGGAAGAGAGAGAGAGAGCGCGAGAGAGAGAGAGAGAGAGAGAGAGAGAGAGAGAGAGTGAAAAACCATAGAAGGTCACTCTTGCAACATATTTCAATATTCTTTATTCCTGAGTCTGTCTGAGTCCCCTGCCGGTTATCATTCCAATGGTTTTCTGATATTCTCATGGTGTGCTGTAATCTGTGAATTAATTATGGGGAAAAGTGAAATACATTTATCCATTTATCTTTTGGGATTTCCTTAAGGTAATCCCCAGCTGAGCCCCACCGCTGAGTGATGTGTTTTATTTTTGGATGTTTCACCTTTTTCCACCTCCTTTTGTAATTCTTTATTACAGGTGGTACCTTGCAATTCAACCATAATCAGTTGCTGGACTAGGCTGGAATTGCAACGCAGGTGCATTGCAAGACAAAGTCAAATGGTATGTTTTCTACATGGCATTTGATGCTTCATGTCTCTCCACTGGTCAAATTGCAAGGCAGAGGTCAAATTGAAAGTTGACCTACTGGGAAATTTTACTGTCAAATTTTGGGACAGTTGAATTGTGGAAGGTCAAATTGCAAGGTACCACATGTACTGCAATAAAGTGATGTGTAGTACCTTGCACAACAAATGTGATTGATGCAAGCACTACGTTTGTTGCACCAATAATTATTTATACAAATCAAGATTTTCCAAAGACTTGTATGGGAAAATCATTTAATCCATTTCAGAAATTTGAAAAAAGCCAAACACTCACAACTTTGTTTAATTTCTATTAAACCCATTTTAAGAAATTTTTGATCATAAGCCTTTTGGATGCAATGTAACCTGCAACCTGGAATCCAAATTTGCTGAAAAAATTGAGATGAAAACTGTTTTTGAAAATGGGGTTTCATACCAATTTTTCCAGGAAGTTTGAATTGGAGGTTTCATGCATTGTATTCATCAGGGTTATGCTCAAAAATGTATAAAAATTATTTATTTAATCAGACCCAATTTTTGAAATTTTTGAGCAAACCCCACTAGATGCAATTTATTACACCTGCAGTCAAAACTTTTGGTAAGAATTGGGATAAAAACTTTATTTAAAAAATGATTTTGACCTCAATTTTTTCATGAAAAATGTGGTTTTACCTCAAATTTTTTTAGAAGGTTGGAAATTGGAAAAAAATCCAAAAAATCCCTTATTTTATTCTTGCAAAAGCTTGAAAAAATCAAGTTCTTTTCTTTTTATGCACGCAAAAAACCACAGAACGAGAGCTTTGCTCATTAGGGACAACGAATCTAAATATAAAACCCACAAGAGAAAAACAAAACAAAGCAACCCAAAAAGGTACCCTGAATTCCTCAATGGCTACAAAGGAATTTTTTAATTCTCTTCCCGTTGCAGAAACAATTGTCTGACAAAAATAAAGATAATAAACACAGAGGAATCCTTTTTTTCTTGAAGAAAAAGAATGTATGAATCTCAATCAACAAAATTGCAGCATACTGATTTCACATCACACAGTGCAGTTCAGTTCTTCATATTCTAGATCAGTGTTCCCCAACCTTTTTGGGCACAAGGTCCAGCAAATTTGCATATATTTTTTTGCAGACCAGCAATTTACCAAAAATTTTGTATTTGAAAGACTTTATGAAAGGTATTTCAAAAGTTTCTGCTTTTCTTAAAAAATTAACCCTTTTGCAGCAAAGTCAGACTTTTTTAATACAGATTTTGGGTGCACTCAAGAATTATATTTAAAAGAACTATGACAGTTTGTGTGCACAGCAAAGTTAGGGAACAATCCTGGTATTTTTCAAATTCTGCTTAGAAAAGTTTCACTCAGAAATAACAAATTTACACCTTCAAGGCTCACTTTGTTCCCCTGGCCTTGTGTTGTTCCCCCATTAAAAGATTGAATTTAAGCTTGAATTACAGGAGCCCAGGTTAGAGGTCACAACAGAAAAAAGTCTGACTTGGGACTTTCCCAAGATTTCTTTGTCCCTGAGAAAAATCTGACTTTGCCCTTCCTAACCTGGCAGGAGTAGCATAATGTTGGGTCAAAATGAAATGCAGACTCAACTGAAAAAAGTCCAACTTTGCCCTGGGATGGAAAGGAGTTTGCCACTGTCCAAGGGCTAAGTCAAGAACCAATGAATCAGTTACAAGGGAAAGTAATAAAAGAATAAAAAAGGTAAGATATAACAAAGGTTTCTCAGAATTAAAAAACAAAATAATTTCTTTCAGCACTTGAACATTTGTCTGTAGTGATATGAGGAGAAATGCCAAGTTTCATTTTTCATCCCATAATTTAAATTGCCATTGTCTTCCAAAAATTTCTGATAAGGATAACACACTTCATTGCTACTTTTGGTAAATGCATTATTCTGAAAAAAGGGTCCCACAGACCAATTTTGTCCTAAAACAATTTTTTTGGATCACTGGCTGGAAAAAACTGTCCGAGCCATTGTCCAGCAAAGTTGGGATATTTTTGCAAAAATTTTGTGCCACTGAGCACTGGAAATTAAAAAATCCTACTTTGTACCAAGGACTGAGTCATTATCTAATCCTACAGCAAATTTTTAATGAACAATGAAAAAAATTCCTCACTGGGTGGCATTTTTTCCCTACATTCCTGGCATAGGATTTGCATGGGAGAATCCTGAAAACAATAAAAAAAATTATCTCTGGGATTTTTCCAGACTTACAGCTTCTCAACATGGGAGCATTTCACTGACCTTGGGTCAAACTGAAAGGCACTGCCCCCACCCCCCAAATCTTGACTCTCTGCTGCCCAATGAAAAAGAACCCTCTGCTGTCAAAGGGCTACTAGATCAACATATTTTTTAAAGGCTCATCACTCCCCCCCCCCCCCCCAATTCTAAGAATTTCAAGGAAAAATCAGTGTATTCCCACTCATTTAAAAAAAAGAAGATTCCGGATTGAAATAAAATTGTTTTTTCTTCTAAATTTGGGGGGGTTCATCAGTGTGTGTGTGTGTGTGTGTCATCTATATGGAGGGGGTAGTGCTTTCAGTTCCATTCGGCAGTGAATATAAACCAGCAGGCTTCATGAACCGCAGATAACGTATGGGTCCCGGGATCCGAGTCGACAGGTGAAGCCCGTCTTAGCCACCATTACTGTCACACTGTGCCGGGCTTTGGCTCAAACCCCAGTCCTTGGGACGACGCGACACTGGCTCTGTTTCCTCCCCGCGTCTCCCGGCTAAACTCGTCGGTTCTCTCTAATTATCATCCTACTTTTGAATGAGCAAAAAAAAAAAAAAAAGAAACGAAGAAGAAATATTTTGAATTTACTCGACCATAGGCCGCACTTTGAACCCAGAAGAATGGCACCGAAAGAATAAGAAAAAAAAATTACAGTTGCGTTTCCCAGAACCTTTAAAACTATGACCCTTCACACAAGAAAAAAAAAATTGTAGATTTATTAAACTCGTCGATAATTCTAAATTATCATCCTACTTTTGGGAAAAATGAAGAAAATAATAAAGAAGTAGAAGAAGAAGAAGAATTTGGAATTTACTTGACCAAAGGCCGCATTTTGAACACAAAAAATTGCTAAAAAAATCAGTTGAGTTTTAGATTGTATCAGCTCTACAAACTTCAACATAATCACCCTTCTAGAAAGTATTAAGAAATAAACAGAAAAATGTTTTGGAATGCGGTATTTTCTAAATGTTTTATCTTTTTATTTTTCAAGGAGGTTGAAAATTCGAAAGAAGGAATTTCATCCAAAGAATTCGAAGAAGACGCAGTAGAAGGCGTCTCTAGCTGCAGTCGTCGATTATCTCTAATTATCCTCCTACTTTAAAAAAAAAACCGAAAACGAAATAAAGAAAACAAGACAAACTTGGAATGGACTCGACCAAAGCCAACCCACAAAACGGGCTCGGAAAAAAATCAGGTTGCATTTTCCACAACCTTCAACATTATCACCCTCCAAAAATTAAATAGATAACTTGTGGAATTATTAGCATCGTCAATAGTTATTATCATCCTACTTTTGAAAAAAAAACGATTGATAAAATAGACAAGACGAACAATTTTGAGCAGCCCGCACTTCAAACCCAAACAAAGGTTCCGAAGAAAAATCAAGGTTGCGTTTTATATTTAATTGAGCTCCACAAACTTCAAAATCAGCATCATTCTGAAAAGAAAACGAAAATAATAATTGAAAATCACCTGTTGAATGTGGAATCTTTTCATTCTCATTTTTTACGATTTTTGAAGGACGGTGGTAATTCAAAAATCCCAGAGAAAAGCTGCTGGTATTTTATTCAAAAATTTGAAAAATGATCAATAGAAGTTGTCTCTAGCTACACTTGCATAGGTTCTCTCTAATTATCATCCTCCTACTTTCGAAACAAAAATGAAAAGAGAAAAAAGAGAAGTAGAATTACATTTATTTTCGACTTGGAGCCCACAAAAATTACTCCAAAAAATCAGGCTGCGTTTTAAATCCAATCAATCAGCTCTATAAGCTTTCAAATTATCGTCCTTCTACAAAAATAAAATAAATAAAAAGGAAAAAAACGGACTGAATATTTTTACAACAAAGTGACAGTGATTCACGAGTCTCTGATTCACATACGCATTAAGGAAGGCCGTGGTGAGACCAGTTGTTTCTGGTCTGTCTGAAGGACCAGGGTTTATTTTTCTAAAACATGTTCTTCATTGTCTTGTCACACAAACCCTTGAAGTTCATAAAAAAAATTATCTTCAGAAAACAAGGACGTAGAAAGCAAAAAAAAAAACAAGAAATGCTCAACACTTGTGCATGATTAATTTTCGAGATGAATCCTGTAGTTTTATGATAATCGAAAGCAGATTCGTCACGATAAGACTTGAAATACGACATTGAACAAACTGATGAAGTTCAGAATACTGACATTTTAATTTTTTTTCGAGATCTTTTCACTTGACGGTGACGCAAACGGATGAAAAAAACAAAGTCTCAAAAACTCTGAGAGTTTACAATAATTTTTGCCCTGAAGCCCTGTTGAAGGGTCTCTAAAACAGCTGCAGGCGCGTCCCGAGGCGCGCCAACGATGTCTACCAGCAACGAATTATTTTATAAGAAAAATTCCGCACAAAGACTTGAAATACGACATTGAACAAACTGATGAAGTTCAGAATACTGACATTTTAATTTTTTTTCGAGATCTTTTCACTTGACGGTGACGCAAACGGATGAAAAAAACAAAGTCTCAAAAACTCTGGAGTTTGACAAAAAAGGATTCGCTTTCAAGACGAAGATTTTGGGTTCAATATTTAAAAAGCACAAATTTATCATTTTTTGCTCATGGAACATATTTATATCTTCGGCTAGAATTTTCAGGATGAATATGAAACATTTTAGATCGTGAATAGCCGATTCAAATAACTCTGACTAAAATATACAGCAAAAGTGAACTTACAGTTCAAAATACTGCTAGTTTTATTTATTTCTTCACACACCGTGACGTGAGAAAATGACGATGAACAAAGTCAAACAAAGTCTATAAGTTAACAAAATGATTTTCTGTTTTGAAGACAATGATTTTGGGTTTTATGATAAAAAAACTGGAGAGTTTTTGCAAGAGTAACAAGACCACATCAATTATGGCCAACATTTTCAAGATGAATGTTATAATTGTTTTTATAACAAAGAGCAGATTCTTCCATCTAACATAAAATATTAAACAAACATGGAAACAAAAGTTCAGAATACCATCGGTTCTATTTATTTTTCATCACCTATCATATTGACAGTGATGTGAAAGAATGACAAAGGAAATCAAACAAAATCTTGAAGTTGACAAGAAAAAATTTTCTTCATGACACATTGACTTTGGGTCCCACAAAATGGGGTTTCTTCATTTTTTCACCAACAGTGAAAACTCCAATAATTTCTCTAGAAATTTAAAGATACAGTGAGACCCCCACATGCAGACACCTCAACATGAGGACAATTCAACATAGGGACATTTATTTTTTAATAAAAGGGCATGAAAAAGGCCCAACATACAGACACTGACTTGACATGATGACATTGCATGATAAAATTGCCAATACATTTCACAAAAATTGACTTTTATTTGGCATGATTGAAAGAAGCAGATGTTTCCAACCCTAAGATTTATGCAAGAAAAATTCTTTGTCATTTCACTCATCCTTTCCCCATCCATTCAGCTAATTAAAAAAAATTACCTATTGCATAGAGGGACTTCCTTCTCTCTTAGTGACTTGAATTTTATTTTTACAGATGCCAACATTTAAATGTACAGTACAGAGATACACTATTCAATGCTCCAAATGTTCTTATTGAGTTGAAAATATATTCACTGAATCAAATTCAAGTGGACAACAATTTTTTCCATGGAATTCTGAAGAATATTTCTTCCATAAAACACCAATTAAAAATTATATAATATATGTCAATGGGAAAACAAGACTTGACTTAGGGACAGTTCAACTTAGGGACATTCTTGATGCACCAATGCCGTCCCCATCTGTGGGTCTCACTGTAATTTCATGCATTCATGCTAATCAAACAAAGAATTGGCTTCTGATGAAAATCGAAAACAGACATACAAAAACAACATTTCAGAATATTATGGTTGAAAAAAAACGGAAACGATTTTAGACCCAGATTCATTGCTTGCTTCTCGTAGCCGATCTCGGTGTTTGTTGTGATAGGGACTCACTAGGGGAGAAAAAGGGACTTCCTGCGATATTTACCCAAACCCAGGTAAAGGGAAAAGAAAATATGGAAGGTGGAAAAAAGTGAAAATTAAACTTATGAACTCGACAGGAACTAGGAATAAAGGACAGGTTCTTCTCTCAACAGAAAAAAAAGATGGCACGCCAAAACGAGGTTCCTTGTTGATTTCAAAATCAGAAATCGAATCAAACTTTTCCGAATTTTTTGATTACTGTATGAGAAATTGCATCTTCCTCAATTGAATGGCGTTTAAAATTCGATTTCAGAAAGGAAGGTACAGTAATAGAAAAAAGTGTAAATTAAACTTAGAAACTCGACAAGAAATAGGAATAAAAGTCAGGTTGTTCTCTCAACAGTAAAAGATGGCACGCGCCAAAAAAGAGTTTCCTTGCTAATTTCAACATTTTAAATCACATCCAATTTTTCCGACTGCTTGAATCATACAAAATCGCATCTTCTTCAATTTAATAACTGCACAAATTTGATTCCCGACCTGAAACAAATTCATTCAAGTTGACATACATTTCAAAATTAAATGAACCTAGCTTCTGCAAACGTTCACATTTTTTTGCGGGCAGTTTTAGGCATTGGCAAACCCCAACAAAAGAATGTTCTGTACAATAAAGGTACAGTTGAACAAATAAAACACAGGCAATCTCCCACTTTGCAGCCAAGAACATATTTTCAGGGAGACACCTTGAATATATTTTCCTACCATCTTTTTTTTCAGAATTATTTATCATGTAATTTGATGGCAAAGAAATGACACAATTCAAAAGAAAAACTGCTAACACTACACCAGTGAATAAAACAAATAAATATACGCACAAACCAAAATCCAAACACAGATATAAAAACATGTTGAGATAAGGAAGGAATAAAAAGACATGAGCATTTTCTCACAATGACGGTTGTGTGAAGACTACTTTTTAATAAAATAAAAAATATCAGAGGAGGAAAACCCTTCAATGGGGAGAAAACCTTCAACAGATAGCACATGGAACACCCTGTAGCTTTCCAAAACAAAATTAAAAATCAGGGAATCACTTGGCAAATTTTTTGGAGATGAAATCCGGCCGTGAGGGAAAAAAAGCTTTAAAATAATTCCGCTAGTTTACGAATCAAATGTTAAGTTAAAAAATTTTTTACACCCAATTTTCTCACACTTCTGAAACGCCCCCTTTTTCATTCAAAGAACCCAGGGCAGTCTTCAGCAGAGAAATGGCACCTTTAAATTTAGGGGGAGCTTCATGAGCTGCAAAGCAAACACATTAATTCGGGGCTACCGAGGGCAAGCAGGAGTTCCTTTTCGCTCTGAAAGAAAGTCAAGCAAAAAAAATTTCCTGCTTTCATTTTTTTTTCATACTTTTCTGCGTTTTTCTTCCAATTTTTTTTTTTACAATTTTTTGTTCCCCCTGCGAAGAAGATTCTCTTTCCTCCCGATTTCGTGCTGTTTATGAGTCGGACCCCGCGCAGCACAAACAACTTTTTCCTGCTTTTGACGTCAGAACTTCTTGGAAGAAAAAAGCCGGGATTTTCTTCGCGAGTTATCTGGATTTTCTGATATTTTTTTTCGTCTTGCTGAATGTAAAAAGAGTCCTCGACAAGTCACTCGATCACTCAAGTGTGTGGAGGTCGAAATATACAGTACTGTAAATAATTGACACCTGAAGGCAGACGAGCGAAAAGGTCGCCTTGAGCACGTGCACTTCGGAATCCAAGGTTTCCGAATCTTGAGAAGAAATTTCGCTATTTATTACTGGGGAAATTTTCTTGAGATGAAATATTGGGTATGTGTATATACGTGTCAAACCTCTCTAAGTCGAACTTCAAGGGACTAGCAAAAAATTTTGACTTAGGGAGGTTCTGAATTAGCTACAATAAAAAGTCCTTTTGTCCTGGGAAACATAGAAAAATTGCTCAGAATTGTAAATCGTAATATTTGAAGGCTGAAATAACTTTTTAAATGAGTTGAAAGCATCATGAACTTGGAGGCAGAGTTCATTTTCCCAATTAAGTCTCTCACCTCCTTTTAAAACAAATTAATTCATGTTTTTATTGCTTTTTTTTCTTGCTTGTGTCAAGAAAATAAAAGCCAACATGCCACAGAAAATTCAACTTAAGGAGGTTTGAGGGTAAAAGTCGTCCACTTAGGGAGGTTTTAAACATATCAATGTTAAAGGGATTCAGACAGGACCTGAAAAAATTCAACTTAAGGCCTCAGGGGGTTTTCAGCTTTTGAAATTCAAAAAGCTTGAAGCAAACCTTGCATCAAAAAAGGAAAACAAAAATGCATTATTTCACAATATAAACAGAGCATACTGATATGCATGCTGATAGAAATGAGCTTAACCCTTGTGTGGCAAAGTTGGGATATTTTTGCAAAATTTTGTGCCACTGGGCACTGGGAATAACAAAACCTACTTTTTTTTACCAAGGGCTAAGTCGGGAAAAAGTCCAAGATTTTTTTATAATCCTGCAGAAAATTTTCAATGAAAATTGAAAAATCCCTGGCTGAGTGGCGTTTTTTCATGCATTCCTGGCATAGGATTTGCATGGGAAAATCTTGGGAACAAAAGAAAATTTGCCTCCCAGATTTTTTCCCTCGACTTAGTCCTCCTCAACCTGGATACATTTCAGTAACCTTGGGTCAAACTGAAATGCGCCACCCCCCAGAAAAATCCTGACTTGGCCGTACACTGAGAAAGAACTCTCCACTGTCCAAGGGTTGAGAAAGATTTACAAGTATTGGAATTCATTGAAGAGGCCCTTTCTGAAATCATAGAGGATCAAGATCAACTATTGGCCTTATATGATTTCTCATCAAAGATTCTCTCTAAATTGTTCATTCAACTAAACCTCATCTGGAAACAAGCTGAAGACCATGTGCTTTGAATTGGGTTCATTAACTGCTGCAACTCCTTCAATTCTGGCTTATGCGGCAAATCTTGTTACTGATATTTTGTTTTCAATGTCAGGGAAAGAAGCAGTCATGCATATCAGTTGTGCAGTTATATTCTGTAGAATGTATTTTGTTTTATTTTTGTTATCCATATGCATATAATTTCTCTGTTTCCCCATTCTGAAGTGATTGAATGTCTTTGAATGGATTTGGGTTGGATGGGGAGGGGGTTTGGATGTGGGAATGTTGATTGAACCTTGTGAATGCTGAAAAGCGGAAAATAAAGCTTTTCTGTTCATTCATTCTAACAGAGCACTTTTTTTGAATATCTCTGAATAATTTTCCGCTCGTTTGTAAAAATTCAAAATCATCCCAGCTCAATGGATAAGACGCCTTCATCATGCATCACATCCACGAACCTCAAATTCCTTATAACGCGCTCTAATTTGACTCATTTTTTTTCTAAAGTAAGTAAACTTTAAAATTGTACTAGCCTCGTTCTTAAAACAGAAAAGTGCTGCCTTCTCTAAAATACACACACGAAAACACACCCACACATGCAGACACGACAGCTTTTTTGCTGGAGGAAGAAAAATGCCTCCCAAAGCCACTTATCAAGCTTCTTCCGTCAGTGTCGACACGGGATATCTTTCCTGAAACGAGGGAAGGCTTCTCGGCACCCAGAACCCAAAACATACATTGTATATTATATACAGTGTATAAATATAAATGAGACAGCAGTTAGCAGAAAGAGGAAAGTCTGGAAGAGGAGCAGCGGTTCGGGTTAATGGGAGACAGTAACCAAAAGCACCAACGGCAGAAACTCAAGGATTGGGTGCAGGGTCAAGTTAGCACCAGCCAACTGAGCTCAAGCAGCTGTTAGTTCTACTTACAGTCTTAGTAAAAATCACAGGGACTCTCACAACAAAATTCAAGTCCAAGAAACCAGTATTTTTTGGTCTTCATTGCAATTTGGAGAAATTCAGTAAAATCTGTTTACAACAAATACCATTACAACAAATTTTTTTAGCATCAGCTCAAGAAGGTAAAAGTTTTCCTCACACTTTAACCTCTGTAAGTAAAATTCATAGGGACCCACAATGAAATTTGATTTCCGGATACCAGAATTTTTTCGTCTTCATTGCAATTTGAATAAATACAGTAAAATCTTTTTAGAACCATGACCATTACAACAAAGTTTTTTCAGCATTAGCTCAAAAAGCTGAAAGTTCTTCTGACAGTCAAATCTCTGTAAGTAAAACTGATAGCTGACTCCCCAATAAAATTTTCATTCAGGAAAACCAGCATTTTTGGTCTTTATTGCAATTTGGAGAAATGCAGTAAAATGTTTTTATAACAAATGCCATCACAGCAACAGCTCAAGAAGCTAAAAGATCTACTGACAATCAAACCTCTGTAAGTTAAACTCATAGGTATCCACAATAAAATTTGATTTAGGGATACCAGCATTTTTGTCTTCATTGCAATTTGAAGGAATACAGTGAAATATTTTTACAACAAATAACATTAAAACAAAGTTTTCTCAGCATCAGCTCAAGAAGGTGAAAGTTTTTCTCACAGTTTAACCTCTGTAATTAAAATTCATAGGGACCCACAATAAAATTGTATTTAGGGGTACCAGCATTTTTTGTCTTCATTGCAATTTGAAAAAATACATTAAAATCTTTTTACAAGTAATGTACCATTACAAGTAATTTTTTTCATTAGCTCAAGAAGTTGAAAGTTCTTCTCACAGTCTAATCTCTTCAAGTAAAATTCATAGGGACCCACAATAAAATTCGAATCAGGGATTTGGTCTTCGATCATTGCAATTTGGAAACAAACACAGTAAAATCTTCTTTTCAACACACTTTCAGCAAAACAAAGCTTTTCTGAAGTCCCAACAGAAAGCCCATGGAGTACGTAAGTGCAAATTTTATTACTGTATAACAAACTTCCCAATACCAGTAAAACACATTTTTTTAGGAATGCTTGACAGATTCTCCAGGTAGAAATTTCCTGACTAAAGCAGGCAGAGTCTCAAATTTCGAACGACTTATTCATCACGAAAAATCAAGTATTCGAATTGGCACGCAATAGTTCAGTTGGTTCGCGATGAGTTGGACAGTCAACCGTTGAAAAAAAGGACCCCTGATGGTCATTTGGCCCGATTTCTGGCGTTTTTCTAGTGGTCGACCTTCCATTACACAAGCTAACTTCCATGAAAGAAACGCTGCACATTATTCAACGTCAGCGTATCTGACTCCGAGCTTGATTTCTCTTCCAGTCTGAATAATATTTTTTAGATTTTTATGTTATTTTTTTCTGCTGAGTTATCCTTCAAGTTTGCGATCAGCATGCCTCGTCACTCTCTCAGCGGGATATCGACACTCGATTTCCAAAATGAAGAAGATTTCAGCAAAGTCTAAGTCTGGTTTTGCCTTTTTTTGTTGGCGAAATTGTTCAGATTTCTGCGAAGAGGAATAGGAAAAATACACCAGCTGCATCCAAATTTTCTTGAATGATTAGAGCGTCTTTTCTGCAAATTCTTATTCGATTTCCGGGAGCAAAAATTGAAGCATTTGAAAAAAATTAAAAAATCCTTTCACTTCCAGTCTGCAAGTTTTCGTATCGTTCACATTTCCAAAGGAAAGATTTCAGCGAAGTAGACCTGGGTTAGACCTATTTCACCGAATTTTTTTTTGCGATTAGTTCGGAAACATTCATATCCGATGACGTATCTTGCAAATTTCTTGAATGATTAGCGTCTTTTTCCACAAATTCCTCGATTTCCGGACGCAAAAATCGAGGCATTATCACAATCGTTTTTCTTCCAATCTGAGAGTATTCTTTGGGTTCAGATTTCAGCAAATTAGACCTGGTTTTCACCAATTTTTAATGAAATGAGGCAAATTTAAGCGCGCAGTTCCGAAAAATGTGCCTCCAGCTGCTTTCATGAATAATTTGCGTCTTTTCCAGAACATTCTTTGGACATTTTCAAATTATTTGATCTACGACCGAAAAAAAAATGGAAGAACATGAAAAATCTGAGACGCGGTAAATTTTTCTTCTTCAAATTTGAAATCACATTCTCTATCTTCGATACGATTCGAACACCATCGATGAGTTTGGCTCGTAAAATGCTCAAACCGAGCACATTTTCGCAGTAAACATCAAAAATTTTGATAAAAAAAAATGCAGTCGTCGTCTAATAATACTATTTCGGCAAATTTTTTTTTTTGGCAACGAACAGCGAAACGAATCTTTCGAAAGAACAGAACGCGAAAAAAATCAGCATTAGATCAATAAAGAACCTTCCGTATTCGAGTATCGTCGTTGAAAGCAACGAAAATAATTGCTTTTATTCTCAAGAAAATAAAAAATTTCCCATGAAATACTCAAAAAATAAATTGATTCAATATCAAGCATTTTTTCGAGGGTTTCCAAAATGATCACCTTGTTTCTCATTTCGGATCTTTCAGGAGAAAAGTACGTAAATTTTCATCAGCAGGATTAAAATCTTTGGAACATGGCATTTAATCTGATTTCAAAAAAAACCACAAACAAGAGGAGGATCCAACTGAATTCAAACAGAAACAAAATCAGGAGAAGAAAAAGCGCAATCAATCGATCCCCAACAGAATCCCGAAAAGCGCTAAAATTTGTTCTCCTTTGTTTTAGCTGCCTTGAAAGTCAAGTTTTCAAATCATGTAATTCTCTAATTTCTTTTTTTTTTTAATTTATAAGAAGAAGAAAAAGAATAAACACAAGAGAGATGCAAGAAAACAGAACCCACCTTTCTTGGTTTTGTCCGAAAATGGCTCCGAACCTTCTTCGCTGACCCCGTCTTCCAAAGATGGCGCATTTTGCTCAATTTGTGGGTTCGTCAACTTGTGGCACACTTCAAAGGCTTGGCCCACTGTCCGCACAATTCTCATGGCATGGCTCTGCGAACACAAGAAATAATGACAAAACATTCATAAAATAATTTCAAATTATGAAAAAATCTCATTCTTTCCCCCTCTTTCTTCAATTAAAAAAAAATTGGCCATTGCCTCGATTTGGCGCCAACTCGGTACCGATAAAAAATACATTCCCTGGATCATGTTGAAAAAATAAAAATAAAACTTCGTCGTACTCAAAGTTCCACAGCACAAAAAAAAAGTACTGCAATACGAAAAAAATGTAACTCAAGAAAAAAATTGCACCATAATCATGACATTTTTCTGTGATGGCCGAGGCAAGGGCTTAAATGTCATTTTAATGATCATCAAACAATGAAATTCAAACAATATCTTGAAACAACCCCGCAGTATTTTATTTAAAACCGTGATAATTTCGTTGTCCACTGAATTTTGTTGTTGTTTCGCTCTGCAAACACAAGAAATAAATTTAAGCAATAAATAACTTCATTATTTTCCCCTTTTTCAATTTGAATGCAAAGGAAAATTGGCATCCGACGTCAGGAAAAAATTCGTAAGCGATAAAAATATTTCCCCTAAAATTTTTCAGCTCACGTCGACGAAAAAAAAAGACTTCAGCTAAAAGTTTTGCAGCACAAGAAAATTAATTAAAATACGAATGAATGCTGCCCAAGAAAAATTTTAATCATGATCAAGATAAGTTTTGCGGTGGTCAAGCTGTTTTTTCAAAGAGTGTATGAATATTATTTCATTATTCATGCATAAAGTAAATGCAAACAAAACCATGAAAGAACTTGAGCAATGGCAATTTTGTTCTCCTGCTGTCAAATCGTGGGTCATTCAAAAACGTGCCAGACAATAGCACAAATCTTCACAAAAATCCATTAAATTCGAAACCCTCTTTAAAAACGGATTTTTCCCTCGAAGATAATCGAAATTTTGTTTTTGTTTCATTTCCAGCTTACCGAGTCAAATAAAATCACGAGCATTCCAAAATAATTTGAATGGAATGAAATTTAAACTTCATACAGTAAACAATAATTCTTATAGACACTCCGTCCTTCGATGTGTAAAATATACTACTGTATTAAAATGCCTTAAACCTCGAAAAGTGAACTTCGTTCGACAATGCATTAATTTGCACTTCAAAAAAATAAATTGTCGTACAAAGTGATGTTGGCGCAATTAAAATGAACACCGGAGATGAGAGAAATAACCAGTTCTTCGCAAGATTTTCAGCCAGGTTCGAGACCAAAAAAAGCGAATAATGCGAAAAAACAAGTTTCCAAAAAGTCTCGCAGAATATTTACAAAATAAAAAAATGCCAAAACATATCTTTTATATACAAAAATAAAACATCTACTCGAAACACAAGACCACCCATCTCCGTGTTCTGCTGCCTTCGTCCTCGGAACCCGTTTCACGCGAAAACCCGGTCAACTAGAACCCTTCTTCTTCTCCCCCCCCCCATCTCTCATTCGTTTTAGCCATTTTGTGTGCGAAAAATGGTCATGAAATACGCAATTCACGCCCAACGAAGACATGATGACAACGAAGCGTCAAAAGTTTTCCTCTCTGTTGCACACTCAAAGGGGCGAGGTGCAAAGGGAAGGGGAAGAAAAAACACCTTTTTTTCGAACCCTGGGTTGCGCCGAAATGAGACGCACGGCCCATTGGACGGGTTTATTGCGCGAGCAGAACCCACCTCTTTGAAAAAGCTCCTGCTTCTTCTTCAGAAGCAGATATACACAAGTTTTATCATGAAAAAGCAAAAAAAAAAAAAAAAAAAAAAACGAACAAAAAAAAAACAAA